CGATAAGAAGAGGATCGGGTGGTCTGGATGGACGAAGTGCACTGCCAACGGCAAGGGTATGAAGTTTAACGGATGCCGGCGGTGTCGTGAGAAGGGGTATAGCTGCGATCGGAAGCGGCCGTGTGATAGGTGCGTGAACGACAGAGCGGGGGCGGACTGCGATTCGTGGGTGATGAACAAGGAATTGGTTAGACGCAACGGAACGGATGGCGTGGAGCAGCCAGAGTATTACATGGCTCTCGGGTACGGCCCCAAGGGTATTGACGATGATCGGACGTTGTGTTTAGAGCAGAATCTCCTCGGGCCAAACAGACCGAGGTACGCGGTTATGACGGACCCTGCAGCAGCTGCGGCTGCCGTTGCAGCTGCCGCCGTCGCTGCCGGTGCCAACCCGGCTAATGCTCCGGGTCCTGGTCCCCTCAAAGTTGGAAATGCTCCCATGGCGGCGCAACAGAACCCACGTCAGTTCGGAGGTGTCGTCGGCAACGGGCCCGGCGGCTGCGGCGTGGCCCCACTGCCGCGGCCCATGGCGGCGGCCGGACAGCAAGGTTTCGCCGCACCGCCCGATCCAATGGCGTACCACGACCCGGGCTTCCCCTACGGCAACCAAGGCCACATCCGTGGCCAACACAACAACATGATGTACGGCGACAACAACGCGGCCGTCGCGGCAAATCAGACGGGCGGAGGGTTCTCCGACTGGGTAAGCGGCTACAACGCAAGCAACAACCAAGCCGGCCCAAACCAAAACGCCCAACTACCTCTGTTCGAAGGCCAGGCGCAGAACCAGGGTGATGTCCAGTACATGATGGGCAATGGGTACGATATAAACCCCGAAAACCTGGTCCAAATGACAGAGGCACAGCCGGTCCTCATTCACCCACAGCTCGAAGTCGACCCCCAACGCGAACAATCCGATCTCGCCCGCGGAATCTGTGACTTCATGGCCCAACTAGCCCGAGACGGCCGCTTCGTGCCCATCGAGCTCCGCAACTTCCAACCCCCCGAAGTAGCCGAAACCCCCGCCGCCGCCCGCATCGGCCCTCCCGCCCTCGTCATCCTCGAACTCACAGACCAAGACGCGGCCGAAACGCCCCGCGAGCCACCAGGACCGCCAACATGGAACCCGGGCCCCTACGAACCCCAACTCCGCGCCGCTCTCGCGCGATGGAAACGCCCGGCCAACGACGTCTTCCACGACATACCCGACGCCTCCCTCCTAAACGGCGCCCAACCAGACAACCAGCCCTGCGAGGAGGTCAAGCCCGGCGCACCGGGTAACATCTGCAACGCCCACGTCCCCGACGGCGCCCACTGCGAAAACCTAGAACACGCCGCCGCGCAGCCTAAACCGCACGTCGTCTGCGAGTGCTGCGACCTGACCTCCAAGAAGCACCTCTTCGAGGGCCCGCAACCCCTGACGCGCATGGAGTTCCTCAACATGCGCAACTACGCCTGCGGCGGGTGCACCCACACGCGCCAGGCCGACGTGCGGTTCGGCGGCAGGATGCCCTACGGTCAGCTCGCGAACCCGCTGCACCCCGTGACTGGTTGCCTCTGCGCCAGGAAGCTGCTCGGCCGGCGGCTGTGCTCGCATCACCGGTACCAGCTCGCGCAGCGGCTCATGATTCAGGTGTCCATGGTGATCGAGTGGGCGATTACCAACTTTGGACCGGACATGTGTTTGTTTTGTAAGCAGGGTGGCCATCTCGCCAGGAGCATGGCGGAGTCGGAGAACGGGATAATGGATGATGTGTTGTACGTGTGCCTGAATTGTGAGGGCATCGTCTGCGTGAACGGCCCGAAGGAGCTCGTTCCGGGCGTCGAGGAGTGGATTGGCGGGTGTCATCCGGTTTCCCTCTACTCGGAGCCGTGGCTGCAGGCGCCTATGCAGGACATAGAATGGGACGCCTGATTAGGCGAATATGGCCCTGGATGTCTCATGGAGGAAAGCTGGGTACAGTGAAGGAGGAGTACTGGTTGGCGGTATCTTGCTCCGATTTGGCTTTGGATTCGGATAGAAATGCGGTTGGGTCGATACCACGGTAGCGGTGGAGCATACATGGCGCATTACAGGTGTTTCGTTTGATGTAGAGAAGAAGAAAATGTTCGGATTCTGACGTTTCCGCTCCGGGCCGTGAGATGTTGGCCGAGTGAACGTAGAGGCACACCGTTGAGACTTGAGGGATGGCTGCGATGTTTCTGAGCGACTCGCATCTGCATGTCTAAGGTGATGTAAGGTGATAGGAGCCATGGCCCATGGGGCAACAGGGCGGCTCAGGGCCTCGGGCTATGTATTCCGTGGTGGGTTGCAGTCGCGAGGGGCAACTTGTTGAGGGATGTCATAAGCAAGTTGCATATGCTCCGGGTTGTGATTTTGTGCCCTAATGTAGTGACATGTTAGCGATGAACTAAGATATTGGGAGTTTCTTATTCCATTGGCATCGGAAATTCGGAAGGTGGAACGCTTACCGACAGAGATCTGTCTTCTCTTTGTGATCCATCAATCCAAATAACCACATTCAAGCTCACCTGTTTACCGTCACTCGGTTTCTTGAGCAAGCAGACTAGCCTGTTCCTAGATAACCTCGTTTCATCATCAGCCACAACATCTTGAGGTATCACAAGTCGTAAAACGTTGCAGTAGCATCTTGAACAACAACCATGAGTGCGAAAAAACGCTAAGCCTGAGTAGACAAACCCTCACACAACTACAGCTCAACCGTTAAAAATCACATTGAGGGCAGGATATCACATCTCAGATGAACTGACGTAAAGGGAATCTGTATGACTTGGCGACTGACTCTGACCTCAGAAAGACCTTGCGGTGTCTCAGAAGAAAGAAGAAATTACAGTATGAAAAGAAAAAAAGGAGTACCGATATAAAGAAGAGACAGAGACAAGCCGATGTTTGGTCTCAAATAACCCTCCCAGTGTGTGTAGTAAAGAATCTCGAGTCCACCCTCCACAAGGTCTTGCGGCCAACAGTCTCTGGCTGACAGACCAGCCAGTCTGCAACCCATTCTTCTCTGCCGCCGCACCACACGATGAGGATACTGCCAGACAGCCTTGTGAACAGGACTCTCTTCTCTTGTCCCCTGCCACGTACAATCGTGTGCGATGACCATGTCCATGAAGTTGCCCTGAAAAGAACAAGTTCCAAAAAGTGCAGCAAGTCAGAACCCGACTCCCCGTCCGATGCAGCACAAACAAGATTTTGATCATTGGTTCCCCACGTCAACATGTCTTTCTCCAAACGACATTTGCTGGGCCTGCTTGGACCTGTTCAAAAGTCCAGACGGGGAAGAAACCGTGCGCTCAGCAACAACCAGCGGCATCCACCAGCCCAGTCAAGGCTCAAGGTATCTCACGACTCTCTAGCCGCTTGGTCTGCCACAACCCCTCCCTCTTGCTCTCTCGCTCTCTCTCCCCATTGTGCGCGCGCTCTCTCTTTCTCCAGGTCGAAGTCGAAAAAAGACCGCTCACATTATTACGCACTTGGAGCAGCAGCCTGCCTCTTGCTCACCGCCCTCAACGTCCATGGGCTTCGGGGGTCCGTTGATGCCAGAGGCGCCACCGCTGCCGGTAGAGTAGCCCTGCATCTCTCGGTTGTATCGACGGATTTCGCGGACAATATCATAGAAAGCCTTGTCGACGTTGATACGAGACTTGGCTGATGTCTCGATGAACTTACATCCGAATGACTTGGCAAGAGCCTCTCCCTCTGTGAGAAACGTATCAGTCATCAATTCAATCGATTAAATCAACCATCAGACAAGAGGCCTATATATTGGAGGCACGATCATGCAGCAATGCGGCGCAGCAAATAAATAAAAAAACATACCTTGTCGTGTGACTTCTCTCTCGCCCTCCAAATCGCACTTATTGCCGACGACAACCATGGGGAAGTAGTCCTTGTCCTTGACTCTCAGAATCTGCTGCTGGAATGTGGTGATTTCTTCGAAGCTCTGGCGCGAGGTGATGGAGTAGACGAGCAGGAATCCCTCTCCCGTTCTCATGTACTGCTCGCGCATGGCGGAGTACTCTTCCTGACCGGCGGTGTCGAGAACATCGAGCAGGGCAACTTCCTCGTCAATAACGCACTGCTTGCGGTAGGAATCTGTAGTTGAGAAGAACCAGGTTAATTTGAGCGATTGATTCGCGGTCGCATCGACCAGCAGTAGGAAATTTGATTATTATCGAGGCAGCGTACCTTCAATCGTTGGGTCATACTCGTCGACGAAATGGCTCTGGATCAATTGAATGGTCAAGCAAGATTTACCGACACCACCGCCACCGACGACGACCAGCTTGTACTCTCTCAAGAACTGCGAATGAATGACGGGTTAGCAATGCGTTGATGGAAGCGACGGAGACGAGACAAGGATCGAAGAGTGGAACGTCGCGCGACGATGCGAGGACGAGGACGAGGACGAGAGCGAAGGCGAGGGAGACGACGAACCTTGGACGCCATTGTGCTGTGATGATGTGTTGATTGATGGTTGAAATCTCGACAGGTCTTGTTCGCGCGCAATGTTGATGGCTTGAAGCAACTGCTGTTGAGGTGAAGATACGGGCGAGATCCGGGAAACAGTCAGGAGCAGCCGGGCGATTGGCGTCTCGACGGATTCGGAAAGGGCTCAGCGAGGTTGATTTTGGCGAGGTGCGTGAGCGTGAGGGTGGGATTGAAAGGAGTGGTTTGACAGCGAGCGAAACGACGGGTGGAAATCTGGATCTGGTACGGCACAGGCCGGATTGCGAAGTTTAAAGGTGAAACGACGAGGTAGATGGCAGAAATCCGGGACTGACAGCAGACAGTCTTTCGAGAAGGAGAATGAGAGAATGGGCACAAATGGGGTGGTGTTTCGTTGTTGCTAAGGGGGGGCTTTTTGGCAAAATGTGGAGATGGGGGAACGGGTCGGTCCAGTAGTAGGGAAGGAAGGACCTGCCTGCACCTTGCCTCTGCTCCTGCCTCCTGGCGCAGCTGCTGGGTGCTAGGTATGTGTGCTGGGGCAGGTGCGGGTGCGTGTGTGTGCTCCTGCTCTGCTCTCTGCTCTGTTCTCCTGCTAAGGTTCCTACCTAGGTGCTTAGGTAGACAGGAGGAAGGGAAGGTACGGAAGGTAAGGTACGAAGCTGAGGTACTGATTAAGCATACCGGGGTACCTGCTCTTGCAGCTGCTGCACAGCGGAAATCGCAGTACACCCACTCACTCCACACGTTGTATCTTTCCTTACATCGGCCTTCCCTGCCGTCCCTGCCTTCTCGTGTCCACTCCCTCCCAGCTCCCCTTCGCTCTTTCCCGCGCCTTGCCTTTTTTTTTTTTTTTTTCCGTCTTCCCTCTGGGCTCCTTCCACACTCACCTCCATTCTCCCACTGCCAGACGAGCAGGGCAGGGAAGGTGCTGTATCCGTTCATCCACCTTCGTCCAGAAACGGTACGTAACTTTAGGGCAGACAGTAAAGTGCCTCTTTCATCGCACTGGGGGGGGGGGGGGGGGGGCCCCCCCCCCCCCCTTCTCTTCCTTCTCACAGCCTTTTCCACATTTGGGCGGGATATGAGGGGTAGGGGGCGGGGTGGTTCCTTCCCTATCCCGCCCCCCTGAAAGAGAGGTCAGAAGGTGGTATGGGAGAAAGGGGGTGCCCTCTGGTCGGGGGGGGGGGGGGGGGGGGGGGGCATGCCACACACTCTCTCTTCATCTCTCAGTCTCTTTCACACATTGGGACGGAATTAGAGGTGACGGGAGAGGTGAGAAGTGAGTGAGAGAACGAGGTGAAGCCTGGCTTGGGTTGGCCAGGGTGTGGTTGTAAAGATTCCATTCCATCCAAGTCCTAAGCAGTGAGCACGTCTGGTTCCGTCTGCTTTGGTCACTTCGAGGCTCACAGCAAGGTACGGGACACCAGGACTGCTTGCCCATGTTGCCCTCCGCCGGCCTTGTCTCGTCTGCCGTGCCCGGCCAAGTCGACACGGGCGTGCCACCAGGTCTAGCCAGGTCCTTTTTTGCCGTCCGTCACGCACTTGTTCTTCGTCTCTTAGACTCTTTCCAAGTGTACCCCCCCCTTCTCATGAGACGAGGGACCCAATGCGCGCGGCTTCTGTCACACCAGGCGCTCTTTCGATGAGATCGCGCGGTCGACAATGCCATGTATCTAAGGTAAGCCAAGACATCTCGATATCTTGTGTCTGGTTCGTCGCCCCTCTATTCCGCAGTGGACAAGAACGGTTGGCTGGCACCAGTTTGGGGTTTAGCGCTGGGTCCATGATTTGACGACGACCTGGAAGACTTGAATCGAAGAAGGCACAGGCACACACCCTCACCAACGTCGCTCACACTGCCTCCGTCCGCCCATGCCTTGTGCGAACTTTGAGGTACGCGACGTGCGCTACGGATACACGAAGCTCATGTCGGGCCAGGTGGAAGCAGATCGATAACGACGTGGAAGCGCTATTTGCGAGCGAGGCGCCTCCCATTACCAATCACTTGAATGATTCTATGGGGCCCATCTGGAAGGATAGGAGAAGATCACTACAAATCATTTACAAGAACCTGGGGTCGCAATGAGAGTTGATAGTGATGCTATTCAAGACATGCCTCCATTGGTCGCACTGCGCTGGGTATGGAAACAGCGGCAAAGGTGAACAATCCCATCAGACAAAGGGAATTGACAGAAAAATTAGACGATACCGAGGGCTCGAGTGAAGGTGAGATTTGACCGGGGATGGGAAAGAGGGACTTGCAAGTGGGAGTTTATCGCGGCGACCTTCTGGTGCAGTAGCGTTGGATGCAGCAGGGGTGTCCCTTGGAACCATAAAAAAGAGGCCTGGTGCAGACGCCTGCAGATGCCCACAAAGCAGCAAAGCGGCCGAGGGTGGGAGGACCATTGATGGAGCGCAAGGGGGGAGAAGACGCGCAGAAACGATGGAATAAATTGGTGAGTGGACCAAAGGGAAAGAAAAAAGAGGGGTGGCGTCGTGTATGGTTCGTGCGAGCGAGAGTGGAACTGTGGGAAGCGAGTGGGAGCGAGATGGGGGGTCCCACCTCAGGCACCAGGAGGAAACGGTACGTACTGCGTATCTATCAGACAGGGGAAAGGAAGGAACAGCTGCAAATGCGAGTGAGTGACCCCCCCAGCGGCAATTCCCAAGTGCTGACAGGGGCAAGAACCAGAGGGAAAGGTGGGGTAGAGATGCACTTAAGCGTCAAGCTCGAAGTTTTCTTTTCCTTATGTAATCTATCAAGATCGCATTCAGGAAATACTTCAGTCACCGTCTCCACGAAAAAAGCTAGATGGGAAACCAGCAGACAAATATCTTTTTGTTATCAGAAATGAGTGCAGTCCAACCTCTCCGAGTCAATAAGAGCATGGATTGCTCTGAACGAATGAGGTACGCAATCATCGGTCTCTTCACCGCTCCCGTTGTGGTGCCATGTCGTATTGCCTAATACAATGTCCGGATATAAGCCCCGGTTGTTCGGTCACCTCATCAGAGCAGAAAGCCCGATGTGAGAGGACGTATCGCATCTTGCGGTTCGACAGCTCCACACTTCTGATTACAGTAATAATACGGCGCAGAACACGGCAGGATAGGTTATAGTAGAGTCTACCTCCTTACATACCTGTGTACCATTGTACGTAGTATGGATTTGGTCGTTAGCGATTAGACTCCTTGTCACCGTTACGCGCTCTGCCTTGCCATATGGCGGGAAGCCTGCTACAGTCTTACCCTCAATAAGATAGATGAACAGGAAAGAGACCTCATCCAAGAATTGTCAAGATGCTCAAGTCGACTGTGTCCGCGGCTTGCTGCGGCCGATGGTGACGCGTAGGACCAAGACATACACCTAGGTCTTACCAATGCACTCACACATTTCAAGACAATCTATCACTTTGGAACGACCCCTAGCCATGCGTCTGGTGACAAGAAGTTGATGCGTATCCTTCAGTCCATGGTCAACATGGGATGCGTTCAAGTTGTGATGTCTCCGTTCCGTCCCGTCTCGTCGTCATATCTGAAATGAGCTTCAAAGTGAGCTTCCTTGGAGACGAGGCCGTATGTAGTTAAAGAGGGCGAGGCGTGAGTGGTTCCTTCCTTCCAGCGAGCAGAGAGCTTTGACCACGTGGGCTTTCCTGATGTTTTACTGTTTGACTCCGCACTGTACGAATTCTTACGACACCAGGCAGGTACGAAGGATGGGAGGATTCGTATGTTGGACGGCAGGTGCAATGCCATGTCTCCAGCCTTGCACCTCTTACGCCCTCCGTATTCCGTATCCGCTTGATAGACTCTGCACTTTGAACAACCTTACAGAGAGGCCTTCCCTCACTTTACCTGCGTACGATACTGGTTTTGCGGTCTAGAACCCGACTCGGACGACCTTCTTTGCTGATCCGAGGTTGAATGAGATCCATCGAGCCAGCTGATAATTAGTGGTCAACATCCAGATACGTACATTTATTCCATTTTGTTACGGTTCCCGTTGTCCAACATCGCCCGAATATCTGCGAATAACCTCTTTCACTTGCTTGCACCCAAACCTTATTTAACACCTTTCAAAAGCCTGCCCATCCAATGCAACAACAATTGGTGAGCTGCCTGCAGGCTGCAGTCTCCGACGCCTCACCATGACCCAGGCGCTGAGCATACGCGACAAAAGCGAAGTCGCCGCCTCCTAAACTCTCTCCACTAGGTAATTACGAGCCTGTCTGTTTGCGGCAGCGCCTCGCGCCGACTTGAGCCTCTTCGGGGTCTCCACGTCCACGTGAATCTTCGTCGTATAGCCCGCTCTTGAAAGAACGATCATGTTGCTCCGCACATGTATAGCCTAGCAGCCTGATAGCGATCGATCAATCTCTATGCCAGTTCGTGGCGCAAAGGCTGGCTCAGCTCAACTTGCACAAATCCCATTCCAAACTAAACTTCGGCCCGGAGGTCACGGAGAATCCGTGAGAGTTCCCAGCACATGCTCCCTTCCACCGCACCCGTCACCCCAAGATATCCATCAAAGACGCCCTCACCTACGCATGACAGCAGTAAGGGACGACGCGCTGGAATGTAGAATGGCATCTTGGCTGTTCTCACCTGAGCTTACACGACATCGTCTGAAGTTACCAGCCGGCGCTGATCACTTCATACGCATATGGACATGTTGTCGAGATACAGGACCCTGGGAAAACGTGCTGGACACCATGTCACAATCCGGCAATTCTCAACCGACGTTGTGAACCCCTTGCCACCACGATGTACGTATGCCTGCCAGGGGTTGAACGCAGCCATAGTCAACGGATACAAAGGCCCACCTCATGCGGCTTTGCTTCAGCAAGCCATTGCAGATCCACGTACAACGGTACACGCGCATTTACCAGGTGCCAGACTACGCAGTACTACTGCAGTTAAACCCTTGCCAACGTAGACCGAGAAAGACGACCACCTCGCGGTAATGGTGACACCCGAGAACTCAAACAGGAGCGCGAGGGGAATCACGTTCATCAAAGATCTTTCGTCGAAACAGACCAACAGATCATGATCGTATCTTACGTACTGAGAGGATTTGCGCCACACTTGCAGACATCAGAGCTCAATGAGTCAACTGTCCTGATCAGTATCGTTCAGCCAGCTCGAACAACATGCTCAACTTTACGTCCAATACTTCAGCACGGCACCTCGCAGCAAAGGTTTGTTGAATACGGAACGCCGTCCTCAGTGAAGAAGAGATGAGGGGCCAATGGTTACGATCCACCCCCTGTCCGACTTCGTACGGAGCACTTTGAGCAATGAAGCCGTACTGGGGCCAGACTACAGTCAGCGCTCGATTTGAACCCCTCAAGCTTCCCGTTTCTACGGCGCAACTGGGACTACTGCACCCCAGCCTTCAAAGTCGCTAGAGAGGTTCTGTCATTATGACAGAATGGGTCGAGCGTGCATCTGTCCAAAGCATTCTGAAGCTTCTCAATGCCATGGAATCCGACATCGATATAACTAAACTTTAGCCGCAACCACACCCAAAACTACGGACCGAAACGATGTTGCTTCTACCTACATCCCTTGCATCCCGGGTTTGAGCCAAGACGCCTAGCCCTGACATCTGAACTTTGGCTTACTTGCTTCTGCCATAACTCAACGCCTTGACTTGACTCCTCCTCTAGTCAGACAACCGCCAGGCACGTTGCGTGGCCCACGTCAGATCTCACGAGTCTTGACCATGCAACGCACAGAGAGCGACCAGTCCACGACATACTCCTTGATGATCGAGAGACAGAGAATCCTTCCCCTGGCAGTGCTTGGTAGGCTGTAGCGACTGGTGGCTCTGGCGCGAGGCAGCTTTGATTCGTTGACCGGTAACGCTTCAAGGCCATAGCGCATGAGTAGTCGCGGTATTCGCACCGGCCCAAACTCATACTGGCTCTTGCGCCGCCCGAGCTTGCATGGCCCGACCAGCAACTTGGCAAGACAGCGCCGATCATCTTTCCACAAACACCACCGTCAACTTGGTTGATCTCTGGCGACATTGCGCTCAGATCGCTTTTTCTTCGTCCCTCCGCGTGTTTCCATGCCTTCAAGTGGAGGCAGCTGGGGTGTTCTCGGGCCATGTTTCTCTGCATCTTTGGGTTCTGGCTTTCTGAAGTCTGGGCTGTTGGATGTACAGCCACTTGCCGAAGCAAAGATGCAAGTCATGTCACTTTGATCTGCTGGTGGAAGCCGCCATTATCGCACGCTGAAGGGCTTCGAACAATATTCTTTCCACGGCGCATACCTGCTCAAAC